GCCCTCGGGCTTCCTTCAGGTCGCATGACAGCTAGGTACTGAAAGGGTGTCACAACTAGACGATTCGATTGTTCAAGTTTACCAGGATTCCCGTCGTATACATGTGCGGTTTTTAGGTGCCACTTGGATCGACTTTTAATTAATGCGGACTCATATCCGGTTTCCACTTACAATAAATAACTTATAATAGAAACAATAACAATAAATGTTCAGCCGTAGCACCCTTCCGGTACATAGCTGCCATGTTACCCAAATGAACAATGAGGGCTGAGATGCTGCCAAGTTGCCCAATTCCAGGCAGCAGCAGTCGAAATGCGGCGCTTGGGTTCGAACAATGGAACTTCTGGTCGGTAATTTCGCACCCCAAAACCACTGGACTGTGTCGGCCCGCGGTAAGTTTGGAATAGCTTTGGAGCCGACTCATCTCAACAAAAGAAAGCGTTCAGCCATAGCACCCTTCCGGTGCCTAGCTACCATGCCACCCGAAGGAAGCACGAGGGCTGGGATACTACCAGGTTGCCCAAGCCTAAACAGAGGAAGTCGAGTGGCGGAGGTCGGATTCGAACCACGGACCTTCCGGTCACTAAATTCGCGCTCTAACCACTTGGGCCATCTCGCCCTCATCTCAACAGCATTTGGCTTATATCTCAAATGTTGGGAAGTGTTGATTATTGTTACGGTTCGATCACCCAACAGCATTTTATATCTCAAATGTTGGGAAGTGTTGATTATTGTTACGGTTCGATCACCCTGCGAGCAAAGCAATATGATATGCGGATCGATCGTATACTCTATCCCCAGCTATGTTGCTTGATCCAGACTCCTAGCACGGTGGATAGTAAGAAGACGAAAAACCTCGGACACAAACTTCAATGATCCAACAACACGCGATCAACAGGCGATCATGGGAGAAAATGACAATGCATATATATATTCATAGTTTGACCTTGAAGATGCCGGAAGTTCGCTAGTGCACATAAAAATACAGAGTTTTTTGGGGGATATTGATATCCCCAACACCTCCCCTTGTGAAAAGTCAGTAACGTACTCGACGGAGGTCGACCTGGATACGCTCCGGCTGGCGGCGGCGTCGGTCTGTCCACCGCCTGGGAAGAAGTGTTGGATCAAATACTGAGCTGCCGGTCACACTCTCCTCTTTCGAAGCTGTCTCAGTTTTCAGCTCAAAAGTATCGAGCAATATGTCCAACGGTATGCTACCCGAACATACTTGAGTTTCCGGCGTGCTGTTAAAGCGGAGTTGGTTTTGATGTCTGGTCCAGGTGTCTTGACCAACCGACACGTCGTACATTACACTACCGCGTTTGCGCAGGATACGACCTGCAATCCATGAATCATGTCCTGGGCGATAGTCACGGACAAGCACGGGCGTTCCCACCTTGAATGGAGTTCCAACTGCCACCGGTATGGACCTTGACTCAGTAGGTTGTGTTGGCAACATGGAAGAATGCACAGTTCTAAGTTTACGGCCCATGAGTGCCTCTGCAGGTGACTGGTGGTTTGCCAAAGCGTCATTCGGGGTCGTTCGGTACACAAACAGGAATCTCTGAAGGGCTTCGACGGATGTCTCCTCCCCTCGAGCTTTAAGCAAAGCCCTCTTGAATGTGTCGACGAACCTTTCTGCTTGACCGTTCGATTGTGGGTGGTACGGTGGTGAACGAACGTGTGTTATCGCATGTCGAGTGCAGAAGTCGCGGAACTCAGCAGAGGTGAACTGCGAACCATTGTCTGAGACTATGGACTCCGGTAATCCATGCTGACTGAAAATGTTGGATAACACTCTCAGCGTACTAGATGTTGTTGGAGATGACACCGGAACGATTTCTGGCCACTTGGAAAAAGCGTCAATCAAAACCAAATAAAAAGTGCCATTTATCGGTCCTGCGTAATCAATGTGGATCCGAGACCAGGGCTTTTCAGGTCGAGGCCAGGGAACCGGTGGTTGGTGTGGCGGATTCTTTGAAGCTTGTTGACATCGGGAGCAGCGTTTTACAAAATCAGTGATGTGCTGGTCCATGTGCGGCCAGTATGCGTAACTGCGAGCTATTGACTTCATACGGTTGATTCCTGGATGTCCAGAATGGAACTGACGAAGAACTCGATGGCGTAAAGGTTGCGGAATCACCACGCGATCTCCAAACATTAAACAATCTTTTACGATCGCTAATGCATCTCGGCGATGAAAGAGCTGTCGAAGGGAATCATCTTTGAGATTCGAAGGCCACCGAGAATTCATGAATCGGATCACCTTTTGAAGCGTTCCATCAGCTGTGGTAGCTCTTTGAACCTCTGTTACTGTCACGGGCAGGGCACGAACGGACTGGACCAACTGTGGGTCGGCTGGGTCCTCAAATGCAACATGCGCAATAACCGTGTCTTCTTCGGGTGTTGGCTGGTTGTTGATCAGCCGAGATAATGCATCGGCCTGACCGAAGTCGGTGGTGCGTCGATATTGAATATCGAAGTCATAACCCAGCATAATCAGGGCCCATCTTTGCAGGCGGTTGGCAGAGTGTACGGGAACACCTTTCCTTGAGCCGAAAATGGAGAGCAATGGTTTATGATCGGTAAGTAGGGTGAAACGGCGGCCATACAACATTTTGTGGAAACGCCGAACCGCGAACACTAAGGCCAACGCTTCTTTCTCTATCTGTGCGTATCGCTGTTCTGCTGGGGTTAGTGATTTCGACGCATGCATAATGGCCCTCTCCGATCCGTCTGGAAAGACGTGTAGAATGACGGCACCGACACCAAAATTAGAGGCATCAGCTGCCACAACGATCGGCAGCTTTGGGTCGTAGTGGGTAAGTAGCAGATCAGAACTGAGCATCGTCTTTAGTTTGCAGAATGCTTCCTCGCATTCGTCTGACCAACACCAGGGGACATCCTTTCCAAGCAACCGATTTAGCGGGGGCCGGATGTCGTGCAACGAAGGCAGGAATGCCGAATAGTAGCTGATTAACCCCAAAAGGGAACGTAATGATGGTACATCCTTAGGAGGTGGCATCTGCTGTATAGCTCGAACGTTTTCCGGGTCAGGATAGCGACCAGAGGCGTCAAAAATGAACCCAAGATATTTCACAGTTGTCAAGAAGAATTGACACTTCTCGGGACGGAGGCGGAGGCCATTGTCCTGAATGCGCAGTAAGACGGCATTGATTCGCTCACGAAGCTCTTCGGGGGAAACAGCAACGATCAGCACGTCGTCCAGGTATGCGACCACACCTGGAATGCCAGAAAGGATGGTGTCCATCAATTGCTGGAAAATTGCTGGGGCGGTTTTGACGCCAAACGGAAGACGGTTGTACTGATACAGCCCGCGGTGTGTGTTGATTGTCAGTAGTGGGCGTGATTCTGGTGCGACTTCAACTTGAAGGTACGCTTCAGCCAGGTCGATTTTGGCGAAGAACTTCCCACCGTTCAGAACAGTGAATAGATCGTCGGGTACTGGTAGTGGATAATGGTGCTGCTGGATAGCTGCATTTAGGCCGGTTGAGAAATCGGCGCATATGCGGATGCCACCGTTAGGTTTCTTTACCACAACGATCGGCGCTGCCCAGGCAGAGTAGGATACAGGGGACAGAACGCCTTGTTCTTCCAACCGTTGAAGTTCGGCATCTACCAGTGGGAGGGAAGCGTACGGAACTGGTCTCTTTGGACGGAAGACTGGCGTAGCTCCCGGCACGAGGTGGAGGACTGCTTGTGTCGCAGTGCACTGACCGAGACCGGACTGGAAAACAATTGGAAATCGCTCCATAATGTCGGATGCATGATCTGGATGCGCTGTAGGAGACTGAACTGCATTGCAAACGGCGCTGATTGGAATGTCGGCTAACCCAAGGCGATCGAACCAATCAAGACCCAATAGGTTCAACTCAGTTGCCGTTATATAACACGACCCCACAAATGTAGTTCCTCGAAAAGATACACAGCACTGGAGCTCACCGGAAAGTTTTAACTCTCCACCGCAGGCACTGGTTGCAGTTCGAGCTGCTTGTCTGATCGGAGGTTGCCCGAGCGTGCGCCAAAGCTTCTCCGAAATGATGGTAATGTCCGACGCAGTGTCCAACTGCAGACGGACTGGATGGCCATTTACGGTGACTGTCAGATACTTCCGGTTACCTGGCGTGTTGATCTGGAAAGTAGCCAGCAAACTGAGAGAGGAGCCAACAGGGTTCGATTTCGGTTTGGGACGGACGCGTGATGACTGCTTTGAAACAGCAGAGGCCGTATGCATCCGTGACTGACAATACCCATCTTTGTGTCCCACGGACTTACATTGGCGGCACCGATGCTGCTTGTAGGGACAGAACCTGACGAAGTGCCAGGCTCCAAAGTGCCAACACTGTGAAGGTGGTGTCTTCTTTGAGCCTTTGTTTTGCTTCGGACCAAAACACTGCGAGGTTGATTTGGTTGGGCCAGATTTGACAGGGCCAGGCTGTCGCGTAGCCTGATGTATTGCATGAACTTCGGAACCGCCATGGCCCCCAAGGTGGACCATCGCGGTGTCATGCTTCAGGTTAAGCAATCGTTGACATTCCGAAGTGACGGCCTTCAGCGTCATGGATGGGTCCTGCTCGATGCGGCTGAGGAGTCGGGTACGGATTTCTGCATCCTTCAGGGCTTGTAGACCGCATGTTGTTGCTTGTTTATGTATGTGCATGTATGTTGCTTGATCCAGACTCCTAGCACGGTGGATAGTAAGAAGACGAAAAACCTCGGACACAAACTTCAATGATCCAACAACACGCGATCAACAGGCGATCATGGGAAAAAATGACAATGCATATATATATATATATTCATAGTTTGACCTTGAAGATGCCGGAAGTTCGCTAGTACACATAAAAATACAGAGTTTTTTTGGGGGGATATTGATTTCCCCAACAATTATCAACTCTTGGTTCACGGCAGCTTTTCAAATCCATTTCAGTGTATTGGCTTGCATAGTACCATAACAACGTAATCGCTTGACGTCTGCCATGTCTTCGGTGCGTCCTGATATCGAGGCTCCATCACATCCTCTTGAGAAGGACTTCGCTTTCAGAAACAATGTGGCACAAGCCCATGTTTCCATAAGAAATGGTGAGTTTTCCAAACTGTACTGACACTTCAAACTACGGCCTGTAGGTTTCTTGAGAAAAGTATATGGCATACTGTTCACACAACTCGCTGTCACAGCACTAGTCGCTGGGGCAATGTTTTATGTAAGGCAGCCGTTATTAGAAGCCTCGGCCTTTGGGTAAGTTTGAGTTTAGATGTCTATCATCTTTTAGTGGCTTGTCGCTGCTGTCGGCGTTTCTGGCTTTCGGATTCCTCATTGCGCTTGCCTTCAAGAAACATGAGACGCCACTCAACTATATTCTTCTTTTTGGATTTGTAAGTCATTTTTTTGCTTCTTACCCATCCTTCACAGACTTTGTTGGAGTCGTTTGCTGTCGGGTCGATAGGTGAGTACGAGTTAGTACTTTATTTTTTGAAGGCATGCTCACTTTTTTGATGGGGCGGTGTGTTCCACTATTAAGGCGAGCGTAAGGGATCAGGTCGCTCTGACTTAAGTGTGACCGACGTACAATAACCCCAACGAGGGACGCTCGAAGTTTTGGGGGAAGGGGCACTGAAGTGTTCCTGAATGTCTGAGCGTCCACGTAACCTCAGCCAATACAATGCAAGGATATAAAGGAATTTTGGAGTAATCAATCGGAGGTATTTGCTTTTTCGAATTTCCAGACCGTTTCAAACAACAGTTCTGTTTGATATCACTGAACAGACAGATTCGTTTTTTCTAAACGTTTCGCATAACATTCGACCTGCTTCGTTCATATTCACCTCACGGGAAAAGTTGTCCGGTCGTATCTGCTAGCGAATTACTGTTTGGTGGGTACGTGATAGTACTTGAACACGGGTGTCAACGAGTCAACCTTCAGTGACTGCTAAGTGAAGCTATCTCATTTATTTTCCTCTTGCCGCTCATGCTTTCTGCATTAATGCACCGGGAATTGAATTACTTCTGACGTAGTCATCTCTCGGGTGCCCCTACGAACTCACCTATTGCAACCAGCTCAGTATTCTGCCGGGACGCGCTGTTCAAGGTCTATGTGATTCCATTCTCGCCAGTCTTTTCATCATGGGTTCGAAGTTTGTTGGCTTGCAATTGACTCGCAACATCCCATGTCGTTCTCATTCAACTAGCCTTAAACATGGCCATTCAAAGAGGGCACGGATCTGGTTGATCATTAGTGGGAAAGCCCTGCGTGGGTGGTTTTTCTCAGGAGCAAAATAATATATCATTTTCCAGTTAAGAACCATGTACCGAAGTACAACGGTTCCAGGTTCTACAGTTGGAGGACAATATGAACGACTGAGAGCCCCGCGTTGCTGGCGATGGCCCAGTCAGTTTATGGACGTCTAATGCTTCTGTTTGTCCAGTATAACAACGACTGAGAGGGCAATTGTTTTGACGCAAGATGGTCATCGGTTGTGTGACTCAGCCATATCTGTCAAGGTCACTAACTCTTGGTAGTGTGTTCTTTGCACAACCCTCTTGTAGACGTGTGTGAAGAATATATCACTGGTACCGTTTAAATAAACAGATTCGTTTATCGAACACAAGGATGCCAAAGTCAACAATATGGTTCTTGCAGCTCTTCCGCCGGCTGCTGTCGTTAGGTTGAACTCCTCACCAGCGCAGCTGGCCTTCCTGAACCAATCCAGACTTCTATGGAAAGGCTCTAATGACATTTGGTTTGTTTATCCAGTTGATGCAAGATGGTCACCGGTTGTGTGATACAGCCATATTTTTCAGGGTCACTAACTTTTGGTTTGTTTTGTCCCGAGTTCCCATCCGGTGAGATCAACGTGGCTTAGTTGACTAGTAAGAGCTTTCATGCTGCGTCGATAAGTCTTGAACTAACCGCCCCTGGGTCGTCTAAACCTGACACCATGTGTGTGTGTGTGTGCGGTGCGTGTGAAGTGTTGTGTTCTCAACCGTAACTACCGATTGATGTGTCGCACACTGAGACAGGCAGCCAGTCTAAGCAAATTCATCATCCGTCCGGTGTTATTTTAGTCCTGTTCGCTTTACAGTTGTCATACGTTGCCCTGCCGCTAGGGCGTCCTCATTTTGTTGGCACAACGAAATTAAGGACCAGCAAATCGAGTGTCCGATGAAGTCGAAGTTGGCGAGTCGAAGATCGTCGAGTGGAGGGCCCAATGAATTGATTTTCGATGGAGCGATTGAAAAACAACCACAGTTCGCAAAAACTACTTGGCAATGCCGGTCCGAGATAAAGTAATCGGTTCGAAACGTGATGATTATTCACTTGGTGGTGCATTTTCCTACTGTGTTGGAATGCACCAGCCCCTTGATAAGCTGTACCTGCCGCTCCACGAGTTGGAATGTATGATTTGCCAGTTGAAGACATAATGTGCCCTTGAGGAGAGTTTTTTAATGACACTGTCTATTACCCCATTTGGGCAAGAGGTTTCTCCTTGACTCTTTTGAGAGTTTTGTCGATGAACCCATGGGAAATTTAGAAATTGGCCCTTTACTGAGCCCGTTTATCGCCTGTGAACTTAAACGACTAAGCACTTGCGTTCTCCTGATTTGCCTTTTTTCGTTTTACAAATGTTGTTGGGTGTTTGACGGACGTTCGTTACAACACAACTTTTTAAATATATGGACATCTTCCCCAACAACCCTAACAAGAACAGATTAGTCGTGACCGGCCTCCTAGCGGATACTTCCTCTATATCCTGAGCTTATCCCGAGCATCGGGTTACGAACAATTGTTGGTATGGTTCAGTGATTGTTTTTTTTCCTGGCGAGATACTTTTTTTGAGAAGTGATCCATGTGGAATTACTTCTTTCATCTTTCAACGTTTCAATGTTTTTGCTTCAGTTCTCCACTACTCTGGAACCATAGTACTTCAAGCGGTTGGCCTCACCGCTTTGGCCACTTTCGGTTTGATGTCCTACACTTTCCAAACGAAACGCGACTTAAGCCAATGGGGTTCCGGGCTGTGCGTGGCACTCCTTCTGCTCATCATAGCCGGTCCAATAAACGTAAGTCAACTGCTGTTGTGTGCTGCGACGGGGTGGTGCAACTTCTAGGCCGGCCCTTGGTTTCCTGCACCCGCGCAAGATAGCTCAGGGTGCGAGATAGCTCAGGTGTTTAGAGCGCGAATTTACTGCCCGGGAGGTCTGTGGTTCGAACCCGACCTCTGCCTCTCGACTTTCCCTGTCTAGGCTTGGGCAACCTGGCAGTATCCCAGCCTTCGTGCTTCCTTCGGGTGGCATGGTAGCTAGGCACCGGGAAGGTGTTACAGCCGAACTATTCATGCTCGGTCCTGGTCCTCTGACATCCGTCCAATCGACGTGGTATTTGGTTGTTAAGAGCGAGTGGCATCCGGACAACTGCTAACCCTACCTAACACAAGAACAACGACAATATTTCCCAACCTAGGGCGCTGATTAGGATAGCTATGACCGCAATACCTTTAAGCGAAAAAACTGATTTCATGTGAATGATTCAAATTCCTATCCTTCACACCAATAAATCTGAATAGGGCGTAGAACATAAGGTTGATGGAGACTCAGGGGCTGTGCCTAACTGATAAACCCCATGAGGGGCGAAACCGGGCCGTCGGATAGTTTTCAGCAACCCGATGAGTAGTATGTGAAGCCTATGGTAGATAAGACGTGTTTCTGCATCTCTCGGGTAACTGGAACTCTATGGGATCACGAGGGACCGAATATGGTCAAAATCTAGTGAAGTACAGCTTTGTGCATACAAAACTACAACGGGTCAGTTGTTCTCAATCCCTACAAAATTCCTTAGTTGAGATTCGATCCCGCTAAGTCAGTCTATGCTGACAAGCATTTTATGGCTGCTTTGTCCCTGTTGGGAATTATCAGCAATGCGCATCTTACGACTCCCTAGGAAGATCAGAACCCACGAGTTCCCGGCCAATAGCTGAAGACTACCGTTTTGCCATGAGTGGTAAGACTTGGACAGGATATGGTACGTCAATTCGCTGATTCTTGAAGGGGTGACGTCTCTGGCAGTGAAAGATGAGAGGTTCTAGTGTGTCCTGAATAACCCATGTTACCACCTAGAGATATTGTGAAGTAGGCGATGCTTCCTAGAGCTCATTCAAGCCCGTTCATGTGTGCCGTAATACCCTCACGGTGTCTAGCTGTCCTTCTACCCTGAGGATGCATGAAGACTGAGATACCGCCAAGTTGTTCAAGCCTAGATCGGAGTAGACGGGATTCTGCGGTTGAATTCTCCCTTGCTTACTGACCATCTGGTCAGTAGCTTCATACTTTATCCACTGAGCTTTCTCGGACACAGTGAGACTGCAGGGGGTAGAAGGACTCACATTGTTGGGTTACTCGCACTGGGTGGGAGTCGCCGTGCAGCCGACGTAAAAGGGGAAGAAGCCAGACTAAATAGTTGCGCTGATATACGCACACCATTATCTGTGGGAATTTCGGTCACCTTAGTTCGTAGGTCGTCGACCAACCCCCCAAGCGGTCTCACGATTTTGTCAAGTGAACAAGCGGTCGAGTGGACCGGATATGCACAGGCATCCGTGGTGACTTTGATAAGCGAGCTTGCATGGTTGAAAGTCCACCCCGGGAGTCGCACTTTTTCGAATATTTTCAGGAAATCGGAAGAATAAGCTTTGGATAAAACTTTAGTGGTGCCAATTTCGATACCGGTTTTTCCGTCGCAACTCGCGTGTACTTCCCAACTTTTTGAGAACGACTTCTGCCTTAGTTGGCGGAGTGATACGGCCGTCGTTACCTGGACGGCGTGTCTTACTCTGTACTCAGATCGAGTGCGGATCTACAGTCTATCCAACCGTTCGAATCGGAGAGACTCGGTTAAATAGTAAACTGTTGGAAGGCCTTGTGAATGTCTCTGTACAACCGTGTGACACAACGTAATACTGTAGCAGATCGGTTCTGAAGTTTGCCAGTGTAGTAACACAAGTGAAGTGACTTCTTGGTTTGGCTCAGTGAGTTGCATTGCTGAAAATATTTATTCGTGAACTTTAGGACTACTCTACCTACATTCTCTGGTGAAACTGTGGTCGGTCCTCGAGTCCTCTAGCAAAATCCAAGTTTGATGCAGTGGCTTTTATGGTCGATCCCACTGAAAAGTGGTTCTCCCCGTTAGGAATTCGTCCGGAGCTCACCATTACAATTTGCAAATGAGTATTCGACTTCATGAGTTTAAGATCGCTCAGTGGTTAAGGCGCGAACCCGTTGACCGGGGTTCGGATCTAACTCCAGCATCTCGACTGCTCCTGTCTAGGTTTGAACAACCTAGCAGCATCTCAGCCCTTGTGCTTCCCTCAGGTTTCATAGTAGGTAGGCACCGAAAGCTCAGAAACGGAGGGCAACAGGTTCCCATTCGTCAGAACATAGAGTTGTAGAGCTTGATCAATGAAGGTACTGAGTTGTCATCATACTGTTGCTCTTGTTTTGTAAGTAAGAACTGACGTCAGCCATGAGCTCTTCATTACTCAAGAGGTTTACGAAAACTCTAGGACAGCGTATGCAACCCGAATTCTGTACATATTGACTTGAAATGGTGTGTTCCACACACAATAGCTTAACCCGAATATCTTCATGTGTAGTTTTAGATCGGTCTCGCTTTTAGTGTAATCGTCCTGCGTTTTAGGATAGCTGGAAGTCCAGGTTACATGGATGACTGTACTTTAACTGTCAATGAGAACCAGTGCCGGGCTACTTGATCCCTAGGGACAAGACACAACAAAAGTTGCCACCTGACAGTCAATTTTTTGTCGGAAATCTCGCTTTCCAACTCCCTGCAATGCATAATTCCTGAGCCCATACGTGTCAGTTACCTCTCATAAGTGGCGTTGTTGTTTGCCCGAACAGTACAAGTGTGTCGGGCGGATCTTAAATGTGGGAGCTTGCCCACGAAATAGTTATCCTAGAACAACAACTTGATGAAACATGCCTTTGGGTCTTTCTGGATCTGTCCAGATCGTCCGATGCATCCACGCCTCTCCTAGTGAGGATCTGATGCAAAACGAGGTTTTCGCCAATCAGTTGTTTCTAAGATAGACAAAACAGAACTAAATCGGCATTTGCTTGGTTTTGTATTCTAGTTGTCTTAGACCATCCATGGTTCACATACGGTACGGTTTTATAGTTCTTGAAGAGACCATCTTACGAAATGACGGCTGAGGTTTGACTGTTTTTCCCCACACTCTTTTGTGACGTCAGATCATTGCGTTTTGTCCTTCACTTTCTTCTTACAGTTCTTCCTTGGATCTTCACTGTTTGAATTCTCGCTTTCCATTGGAGGAGCTCTGCTGTTCAGCCTACTTATCATATATGATACACACCGGATCATGCACCATTGTTCCCCTGAGGACTATATCGTCGCGTGTATTGATTTATACCTGGACATTCTGAACCTCTTCCTCTACTTGCTTAGAATTCTCAAGGACATTCAGGGCAACAACTGATAACGTCGTCAACCCGTCGCAAACCAGACTACCCCTGCTTGTTGTGATTTTTAATGACTTCTCAATCGAGCACGGACCACGTGATCGGTCACTAACGGTTGCAGTGTCACTCTTCGTTGTGTATTTGTTTGTTTCATTCTGAGTCCAGTTTTTGGTCGAACGCCCGACTCACTAATTTGCTGTGGACTGAACACACCACTTGAAATTTCATTTCTTAAACTTTCTCTCTCTCTGAAGTTACCTGTTACGGTACCTCGTGGGATGATTCCACACCTGTGATTGGTTAACAAACCGTGACTCAGATGCTGCCACCTATCTCAGAAATGTGAGAACATCTGCGTGTACTTTGGTCCAGTCCGTTTCTCGTTTACAGGTACTTTACCTATTGCTCACTTGGTTACTGGTTTTTCCTTGGGTGGGTATATTCTAACTAAGTTGCTCGTTTACCTCGTCATCCAATGTTGAACTCGACTGTTCCCGACTCCTTGAACCACACAAATTTGTTTAAGAAACGAAATGGATCTACTTGCTTGCAGCTTGTCAACATTCTGCGACATCTGTTTTCTACCCCGACAAGTATGTGATTGAAATGGGGAGAAACGTAAGGGGGTCGGAATGGAAAGTAAGTAGAGTAGCGTCAGTATACGCTATCGTTTGCGTATCACAGTCTATTCCAGAAGCATCCAATTCTTTTCGTATTTGACGAGTCTTGCGAGTTGGATTGGATTGGAGTTGGGTTAATGAAACATATGAGACTGTGGAACAAGAATGCAGGCGGAAACAGCTGTTATCTAGCAGCTGCGCATCGGAAAGGCGTCATACACTTACTACACTACTCTTAAGGCTACTGAAAACTCTTGGACGGCTCACGACCTGTTTCGCTCTTCTTGGGGCTCATCAGATAGGCGCAGTCTCCGAGTTCTCGACAGCTTTATGTTCCACTTAAACCCAAATAGCACGAACTTTTTGAAATAAACTCATTTGCCAGCCAATTTGGTTTTCACGGGGGACTTCAACAACCTGGTGGTATTTCAGTTGTCGGACTTCCATTCGGTGGCGTTGCAGCCATACACTGAAGGGGTATTACCAATGAACGACTGCTTTATGTTGTCATTGTGTACTCTGTACAAATGTTTCATCTTTGTTGAGTACTATCAACGGTGCCCAACTTCTAAGGAATATCGTGGAGGATTCGAACTCTTCAGACTCGGAGTTGAACGAATTTCCGGAAGAAAACTTGGCTGGTGGACCCTTTGGAGTGTTTTCACTCGGAAAAATGCTCTGTCAAAACGAACTACGAACGACGGTGATTGTGTTTGCGATTCTATTAATTTACTCGAGTTTTCCACCTTCAAATGGGAGAGTGTCGCCCGTTTTTTAGTACTATATCGTTTATCGAGATTGGAACTATCCGAATATCTCGTCACCAAAATCGATTTTCTAATCTGCCCTGTTATTGTCCGCCAACAACGAGTCGCTGAGGCCGTTTAGCACATGTGGATACTAGTGCTCCATTTCGTCACCCCCTGTCTACAGTGCTTAACTTAATCCTCAAGAGTGTTGGTAAGTCCGTGAATTATGCATGCCGAACCATCGTTTATCGAACCCGTCACGAAGAGACTGGACCTTACCGTGGTGTGACGGTTTGCGCACCTCAGCGATCCATTGAGTTATACTGGGGAGTGCCCCCGTGACACTCAGAGTCTCATACCGGGTTGGTCAATGGTTAGAGGTCTGACGAATCTCCTGGCCCTCCAGGTTGTGGGTTGGAACATGGGCGACTTGTTCCGTAGAAATGGCAATGCATTTGCATTTTCCGCCAAACACTGCTGCCTTGTGGTTAGGCTTTTGAGCTAAAGGCTTTGGTTGAGGACCCTAATCGTCCTCCTGTCTAGGTGTGGGCGCCCTGGCAATATCCTAACCCTCGTACAAGTACGGCAGTGAAGCATCGGTGTTGAACACTGATGTGCTGTCGATGATGTTGTTTACCGAACAGAGTGCTGTTTTCCTTACTCAATTCGGGGTGGCAGAAGCAGAGAAGTGGTCAACCTTTGACTTGGCAGAGAGATCTGAGGGAGATTACGAAACGTTCGGGTGCTCTCGGTGCTGCTCGCCTTCCAGGATGGGGACCGCGCGATCCCCGCTGCGCCTGGTTGTAAAAGCTGCAAGATACGGCTGTTAATTGATATCAATGACGTTCTTATCATCAGTTTTTATCCACATTACCTGAAGGAGTGTTTGGATTTGTAGGTCCCTCGGGATGATTGTAGTAAGTCAGCACTAAGTTATCTCCCAGTCCATCTTTATACTTTTTCTTCACAATAGGGCCTTAAAATAAATCATAGTTGTACGGCAGCGAAACATTTGTGTCGAACGCTGGTGTTGCGTTGTCCGTGATGATGATGATGATGAAGATGACAGCAACGACCACATCTTTGCAAATTGATGACCTTTAAGCTGCTAGTTCACTATATTGTTTTACCCGATTCCTCGGGCAGAAATTATCCTTTCCAGAAAAGAATCGCTACCAACTTTAGTCATTACCTCCACTGTTTCACCCCCAGGGGTCACTGCGTCCATAAGGTATACTAGTGGCGAAAGTTATTCAATCAAGTCGAACCTGTTAAATCCTAATGTCTTGAATCCAGTGAACTATATTTACACGAAGACCATTCAGACGGACTTCTGTGAGGAGTGGTCAGAATCGTCATCCTCTATAAAAAAATCGCGCACATGCCGTACAATAATTGCACCTGCCACAGTTTCGTTCGCCGATGATTTGTGGAGGTAGGGTAGGCAGCAGCGCATTGATGCGTATAGACAGGGATGTCAGTGGACTTCTCATTGGGGAGATCGGCAGAGGATCTATGCATTGAAGGGAACAGCTTGGACGCATGGTCGCGATTGAGGGCTCGGCTGGGCCATGTCTGACAATGTCTCTAACCATTGATGTGTCCCGTCTCGGGATCCTCTCCCAGGGAAACGACAATGATCAGGGCAGCTTAGTTTGCTTGTAATGGCTTTCGTACTTAGCTGCCAAGTTATTATTCGGCCTCCCCTGGCTTGTTTCTACCCTTCGCGTGGTTGTGCGAAAAGAACCTTCGGATGAAGTCCGCCAACTGGCATACGGAGAACGTGACCAAGCCGGCTCAGCCTATGCACTGTGATCAGTTCATCTATTGACACCTAGTCATTTCTTCCGAAAATCATTCCACGAACTTCAGCATTACTGATCCTCACCAGACTCGAACTGTTGGTAGCTCGGGTGAGTTTATGGGCTATTGATCAGATGGCAGTTGACCTGTACTTGTCAACTGTTTGCAAGTCACTCTCGGTCAATAGATCGACAGCCACCTGATCAACCGCCAATAGACTCGGACGGCTCCCGCCGTCAGCGGGAAGAGGCCATATAATAATATGGAGGGCACAGTAGTACGGTAAATTTCACTCTTGACAGATTCCTCACGATTCCAGTAGAATTCATAACAGTATTCTCGTTAACCAAGATTCTATTTGTACTGCCGCTCTCCCGGGTTCGATCACACGCTGCCTTTCCTGGACCTGGGGGGGGGGGTTACCGCATGATGTTTACATTCAAACTGTAATATCAATTTTGGCTTTTCAGACCAGGAATCGATTTGTTCAGGACAGTGAATCGTTTACTGAATCGTATGGTAGCCTTCCTCAAATATATCATCTGTGTGGGTCACTGGATTTGCTAAAGATTGTCGTACGTCGCCCAAGCAAACCGTGATAGCCATGCTCTCATGCCTTAGGAGCCTGGACTTGGTGATGAGACCATCGACGTGTCGTCATCACCTGAGAGTGATTTCCAGTTAGATCGAAGACCATCAGTAGCACTGGTAAATCCTGGTTGTGTCCCACTACAATGAATCCAATATTCGCTATGGACACAAAACTTTGTTACAGCATCTGATCTGTCCCAGCTTCAGAATCATCAGTGGTATGTTCAATCTTAAGCGGTCCGTACCAAAACCACACGAACCGATCGATCACGGTGGTTCAACCAATGAGCTCTCCTGTACATTCAGTGTCATTTTTGCCTATTATTACATGTTAGTGAGTGCTCATTGACACGTGCCTCATTAGCTGGACATTGGAAATTTCACCATTGGTAATACCATAATTAGACGGTTTGCCACCTCACCTGCTCTCCATTCATTATTTTGTCAAAACAATCGATTTTGTCCGGATCACTAGCATGTGGTTGCATAAATTGAAGGCTCTATTCTTCACTGGTGTGTTTGACGCAGTTCACAGTGTTCGAAGTTTTCATCCTGTGTTGTTCTGTTTTATTCTTTAGAGACAACCGATGACTCAGCGAATTCCGGAGGAAAGTAGCTTTGTCGTCCGTTAAGTTTCGGGAGGCGTTCGTAAAAATTTTAAAAATTTAATATATCGTCCTGTAAATGAAACCAATTTATGCTGAAAATCCGGGATTCATTGTACAGCTGTTTCGTGCTTATTGCGACTCACCAGCAGCGCGCAACTCACGAAACTCCAGGAAGTCACGAACCCGAGGATTTTCCTGCCAGTGGTTCAAAAGTCAACCGTTTGGCCACGACCGGCTGGTAAGCAGTGTGATTAACTCTCTGTTAAAAAGGACATAGCGCTTCTTACCCTTGAATCATGACATCCGGTTCACGTGGTCTCGTACTGACTGGCTCCTTGGATGAAGACTTCTCAGAAGGAAGTTCCACTCATCTACATCCAAGTGTGAGCTGACCAGTCGCTGGTAGGATAAAACGTTTTTGCTTGAGCTATCAACTGGGAGGTCGCGGTTGAGTAGTTCGCTGGAGTTTCGTGGAATGTTGACGATTCCCAACAAGGGTGAAACAACTGTCCAGTACTTCTCGGCTTTTTCCGCATAGATTGGCTGTACTCACACGAGGGAATCTCCATTTAAACAAAGTTCTCGAAAAAGCTGCCTTGCCGGGTATGTAAAGCGATACCGACCACAACAGCTGTGACCATCCTTTATCAAACAATTTAGTTGTTTCAGTCGACTGGGGCGCGACACCACGAGTGTAATGAAAGCATCCAACAACAGATTTCCACAGGTGTCGGAAACACTTGAATTATATTATTGTCAGGGGGGAGTCTATCATATAAGTTGTGCTTGAGAACTGGCAAAAATGCTCAACGCTCAGGCGGGTAGTCCTTGCAAAAGAATCTCCTGTTTTGGTTTGCATCGAATATTGTAACTGGATTTTGACAAATCAGACCGCCAAGACTAAGTCACATCAATGGGATGGCCTTGAGTGGAAGGTTCTTACGAACTGTGAAACCCTGAAGAAGTCATAAATATTGACGTCGAAAAGCTCACCATCTGCGGGTATCTCTTTAGGGAACTGGAAGGTTGATCAAACTCTTCGCAACACGACCAGTAGTACAGGATTCCTTGAAGGGTGTGATTGTTGGTCAACCCACTGGAGAATCTCCGCCTGAGAACATCACAAACGGGAGATTCAGCTGGGTTCCAAGTGAGTCTCTGGAAAAAACCAAATTAGTTTGCAAATGAGTGTATATTCGCTAATTTGGTGCGATTTAG